CAGTTTTGTAATCTTTGCAATGCCTCATGGGAAATGTAGTTCCACAACAGCTAGAGATACGCAGGTTGCCTACCCCTGGCCTAGTGAAAATTATATCTTATGGCGCCGATCCAAGCTATGGATGGAAGTGAAAGGGTCCACCCCACCGGCAAGTGAGAAGAGGGGAGCACGAGTCCGAGCGATTCCAGTGTCAGCCAATACAAGTGAACGGATGGACGCTGCTCAACCGACCTCGGTAGTCCAATGTTGAGGAATGGCCTCAGCCTCCGTACTGACCACAGATGCAGTTAGCTCCAACCACCAGGGATTGGAAACAGAGAACTGTGACTAAGCCCCCGGTGGGCGAGGTGAAACGCATCAGGGGACGTGGCCAGTACGACAGTTGAGGCTATTTCTCAACATTGGACTGTGACTAAGCCCCCAGTTGGCAGACCAAAGTGCATCAGAGGGTGTGGCCAGTATGGCGGCTGAGGCCATTCCTCAACATTGGACTTTGGACTACCGAGGTCAGTTGAGCAGCGTCCATCCGTTCACTTCTATTGGCTGACACTGGAATCGCTCGGACTCATGCTCCCCTCTTCTCACTTGCCGTTGGGGTGGACCCTTTTCCTTCAATCTAGCTGGGGTCGGTTGAGCAACATCCATCCCTACACTTGTATTCGCTTAGGCTTCCCACCCTGGTAGCTACTTATTGATCTTCCCCATCTGTGCTGCCCCATTGGCTCCAGGAAAGAATTTTAAATGAATGCCATTGACACTGGGCTTCCCCATCTGGCTGACCCCATTGGGGAAAGTAATTGGGAAGAATTTTAGGAGGTTGAATGGCAATGTGGAGCGGGGAAGACCGAAGACAATCCACACAGGCCCTTTACTATGAGTCCTGGAGAAAATACAGAGCTTGATGGAGGGTCTTCGTGACTGGGGTGAGGAATAACAGGCCTTACTCTGTCATGGCCACCATGCTGGTACAGTGTCTTTGGCCTTCACAAGCAGTGAGGCGGAATACAATTACTAAAAAAAAATAATGTGAATACTCCTCAGTATCAGATCTTTTGCTTTCAGCAGTGCTACAGTCTAATTTCATTTAATTACCAGTATTCACAAATATTTATGGGCCCCAACATTGCTAGCAAAAGAGCATGGATACCACATCAGGAACTCCTAAACATCACAGGACTCAAGTTGAAATCTCTAGTCAAAGGGACATCTCTTTTAAGGCCAATGCTACTTAAGAGATTTAAAAAGCTTGATAGAGGGACTTCATGACTGGGTTGAAGAATAACAGGACTTAATCTGTCATGGCCACCATGCTGGTACAGTGTCTTTGGCCTTTACAAGCAGTGAGGTGGATTACAATTACTAAAAAAATGTGTATAAACACTTTTACACCTCAGTATCAGCAGATCTTTGCTTTGAGCAGTACCAGTCTGCTTAATTTCATTTAATTACCAGTATTCACAAATATTTATGGGTCCCAACATTGCTAGCAGAACATCACAGGACTCAAGTTGAAATCTGTAGTTAAAAGGGAACCTCTTCTCTTTTAAGGCCAATGCTAGTTAAGAGATTTAAAAAGCTTGATGGAGGGGCTTCATGATTGGGCTAAGGAATAACAGGACTTACTCTGTCATGGCCACCATGCTGGTACAGTGTCTTTGGCCTTTACAAGCAGTGAGGTGCAATACACTTACCAGAAAAATAATGTATGCTCACACCTTTACACCTCAGTGTCAGGAACTCTTTGCTTTGAGCAGTACCACAGTCTGTTTAACTTCATTCAATTACTAGTAATCACTAATGTTTATGGGTCCCAGCATTGCTAGCAGAAGAAAACGGATACCACCATAGCACACCATATCAGGAACTTTACAGGACTCAAGTTGCAATCTCTAACTAAAAGGGACCTCTTTGCTTTGAAGGCCATTGTTTCTTAAGAGCTTGATCAAGGGACTTCATGACTGAGTTGAGGAATAACAGGACTTAATCTGTCATGGTCACCATGCTGGTACAGTGTCTTTGGCCTTCAAAAGCAGTGAGGTGGAATACAATTACTAAAAAAATAATGTATGCAGACACCTTTACACTTCAGTGTCAGGAGATCTTTGCTTTGAGCAGTACCCGCAGTCTGTTTAATTTCATGTAATTACCAGTATTCACAAATATTTATGGGCCCCACTATTGCTAGCAGAAGAGAACAGATATCACCATATGAGGAACTTCTAAACGTCACAGGACTCAAGTTGAAATCTCTAGTTATAGGGACCTCTTCTCTTTTAAGGCCAATGCTTCTTAAGAGATTTAAAAAGCTTGAGGAGGGGCTTCATAACTGGGCTGAGGAATAACAGCACTTAATCTGTCATGGCCACCATGCTGGTACCATGTCTTTGGCCTTTACAAGCAGGGAGGTGAAATACAATTACCAGAAAAATAATGTATGCAGACACCTTTACACCTCAGTATCAGGAGATATTTGCTTTGAGCAGTACCAGTCTATTTATTTACCAGTATTCACAAACATTTATGGGCCCCTCCATTGCTAGCAGAAGAGACCGGATACCACTATATGAAGAACTTCTAAACATCACAAGACTCAAGTTGCAATCTTTAGTTAAAGGGACCTCTTCTCTTTTAAGACCAATGCTTCTTAAGAGATTTAAAAAGCTTGATGGAGGGGCTTCATGACTGGGTTGAGGAAGAACAGGACTTACTCTGTCATGGCCACCATGCTGCAATACAATTAGCAGAAAAATAATTTTTGCAGACACCTTTACTCCTCAGTATCAGGAGATCTTTGCTTTGAGCAGTACCACAGTCTGTTTAATTTCATTTAATTACCAGTATTCACAAATATTTATGGGCCCCACCATTGCTAGAAGAGAACAGATACCACCATATCAGGAACTTTAAACATCATAGGACTCAAGTTCCAATCTCTAATTAAAGGGATCTCTTTGCTTTGAAGGCCATTGCTTCTTAAGAGCTTTATGTGGCCAAATGAACTCAACTTTAGGTGGTGAGGGAATGTCGAAGGAGGATCTGGGTTTGAGGAACATTATTGATGAGTCCTTCAGCTCCCTAATAATTAATTTATCCTTCTCCAAAACCAAAATAATAAACACCAAAGGACCGTGTGTGATGAGGACTGGGGATTCCAAACAATCTTTAGATCAAAAAAAGCTTCCAGCTTTCACCTGTGCAAAGAGCACAGCTGCAGCAGCTGTGCTTTCTGTCACTTCCCTGACAACTCGAGGACAAGCTGATCGGGACAGAAGAGTTTTCTCTCTCCCGATCAGCCTGTCCCCGTCCAGCACACACACCCCCGCCCCCTAGTAAAACACTCCCCCTCACACAGATAATCCTTCCCTGAAAAATAAACTTAACCCCTTCCTCCCCAGTGCCATTAGTACAGTGTCAGTGTTTTTTTTTTTGCACTAATCACTGTATTGGTGTCACTGGGGATGTCAGTGACCCCAAGTCAGTACCCCCAATGTCAGAATGTCCGTCGCAGTCCCGCCATAAGTCACTGATCACCACCATAAGTCGCTGATCGCCGCCATTATTAGTATAAAAAAAAACTAAAAAATCCGAGTATCTTTCCCGCCATTTGTAAACGCAATAACTTTCACGTAAACCAATTAATTTACACGTATTGGGTTTTTTTTTTAGCAAAGACATGTCGCAGAATGCATTTTGGCAGAAATTTATGACTAAATTTGATTTTTAATTTTTTTTTTACTGGACATGTTTTATAGCAAAAAGTCCAAAATATTGTTTTTTTCCTCAAAATTGTCAGCCTTTTTCTTTATAGCGCAAAAAATAAAAACCGCACAGGCGATCAAATACCACCGAAAGAAAGCTCAATTTGTGGGAAAAAAAAGGATGTAAATTTCATTTATGTATCGTATTGCATGACCGCGCAATTGTCCGTTAAACTACCGCAGCGCTGTATAGCAAAAAAAATGGCGTAAATTGCAGTATCTATACCATAGTTTGTAGACGCTATAACTTCCACACAAAGCAATCAATATACACTTATTGGGATTTTTTTTACCAAAAACATGTAGCAGAATACATTTTGGCCTAAATTTAAAACCAACTTTGAGTTTACTATATATTTTTTTATAACAAAGTAAAAAATATTGTTTTTCTTCAAAATTTTTGGCCTTTTTTTGTTTATAGCGTGAAAAATAAAAAGCGCACAGGTGATCAAATACCGAAAGAAAGCTCTATTTGTGTGAAAAAAAGGACGTAAATTTATATTGAGTGCAGCATTGCATGACCGCGCAATTATCAGTTGAATTAGTGCAGCGCCGAGTAGCAAAAAGAGGCCTGGTCATTAAGGGGGGTAAATCCTCTGGAGGTCAAGTGGTTAATTTCTGGCTAGCTGGAAATGATACACAAACCTTTTCCCACACTTGGAGATTCATACATCACCTTCCCCATGCAAGGTCTTTGATCTCTGACTAGCTGGGACTGACATACAGTACACACCTTTCCCACACTTTAGAAATCAGCACTACGTTGTACCCATGTGACATCTTTGATTGCTCGCTAGCTAAGATGGACATGCAAACTCCTCCTGCACCTAAGAAATTCATACATCATTGTTCCCATGAAAGGTCTTTGATTTGTGGCCAGCTGGGTTTGACATACACATCTTGCCCGCACCTTAGAAATGAGCACATCATCATTCCCATGTGAAATCCCTGATGTCCCATAAGCTTGCATTGACATACAAACCTTTCCAACACATTAGAAATGAAAACTTTATTGTTCTTTTGTGAGATCTGATTTCTAACTAGATGGGATTGACATTTTTACTGCTCGCTTGTGAGATCGCTGATAGCTGCTGGCTGCATTTGACAAACAGTTCCCGCACTTGGGAAATTAACACACCATTGTTCCCACTGTGAGATCTCTGATTTCTGGCTAGCTGGGATAGACAAACCTTTCCCGCACTTGATAACAGAGATATGTTAGTTCCCCGAGTGAGATCTTCGGTGTCTGACAAGCTGAGATTTACATACAAAACATTTCCCGCACTCAAGACACGAATATGGCTTTTCCCCGGTGTGAGATCTCTGATGTACAGCAAGGTCCGATTTCTGTGAAAAACATTTCCCACACGTTGGGCAGGAATAAGGCTTCTCCCCAGTGTGAGATCTCTGATGTCTTATAAGATGCGATTTCTGTACAAAACATTTGCCGCACTCGGGACATAAAAATGGCTTTTCACCTGTGTGGGATCTCTGATGTACGGCAAGGTCTGATCTATGTGAAAAAAGTTTCCCACACTCAGAACAGGCGTGTGGCTTCTTCCCAGTGTGGGACCTTTGATGTGTGACAAGATGCGATCGGTGTACGAAATGTTTCCCGCACTCAAGACACAAATATGGCTTCTCTCCCGTGTGAGTTCTTAGGTGGGCAGTGAGGTAGGATTTCTGGACGAAACATTTCCCGCACTCGGAGCACGAATACCGTTTCTCGCCGGTGTGATATTTCTGATGGACAGTAAGGGCAGACTTGTGTTTGAAGGTTTTCCCGCACTCGGTACACAAATAGGGCTTCTCGACCACGTGAGACCTCTGATGTCTGGCAAGATGCGATTTCTTAAAGAAACCTTTCCCGCACTCGGGACACGTATGGGACCTCTCCCCCAAGTGGATCTGCTGATGTCCGAGAAGGACGCTTCTCAGTGAAAAGCTCTTCCCGCACTCAGAGCAGGAATAAGGCTTGTGCCCCGTGTGGACTCTCTGATGTATAGCCAACTGCGACTTAAACAAGTAGCTTTTCCCGCACGCAGAACAAGAGTGTGGCTTCTCACCCGTATGAGATCTCTGGTGTCGGGCAAGGTGCGACTTCTTGACGTAACTTCTCCCGCACTCGGAGCAAGAGAAGGGTTTCTGTCCCGTGTGAACTCTGTCGTGGGCCTCTAGTTGGGATTTAAACAAAAACCTCTTCCCGCACACGGTGCAAGAATGGGGCTTGTCGGTCCGGTGAGATCTTTTGTGTGCTTGGAGGCTTGATTTGAAATTAAAACATCTCCCACACTCCGCACAGGAAAATATCCTCTGCCTCTGAACTCCGGCTTGGGATTTCTTGGGATCTGGTGATGCCACCGCACTCAGAAGTGCAAGATGGTCAACTGAAGTCAAAGAGCTTCCTCTAGGAGAACCTTGCGAAACGTCCTCATCTTCAGGTTTACAGTCCAGGGCTGAGGTGAGAGGATCCACAGGGGTGGTTGTCGTCGTGGTGTCGCATTGATGTGCTTCAAAACAAATAAAAAGATGAATAGATTATGAGGCGAGCAGAACAGTTGGATCAAAGCAGAACCTGGATCTGTCATGGAATACCTGGCTCTGGAACCTGTAGAGGTACAACCAGGCGTGTGTGGCATCCTGGGACTACAGAGGATGGAGACATCTCTCTGGTGGGTTCCCATGACTGGATCCATCTACCTGATGATGGTGAGGGATGATGTGACCTCCCTGTGTGGCATCCAGGACTACAGAGGATGGGGACATCTCTCTGGTGGGTTCCCATGACTGAATCCATCTACCTGATGATGGTGTGACCTTCCTGTGTGGAATCCCGGGAATACAGAGGATGGGGACATCTCTCTGGTGGGTTCCCATTACTGGATCCATCTACTTGATGATGGAGAGGGATGGTGTGACCTCCCTGTGTGGCATCCCGAGACTACAGAGGACAGGGACATCTCTCTGGTGGGTTCCCATGACTGGATCCATCTACCTGATGATGGTGTGACCTTCCTGTGTGGAATCCCCGGAATACAGAGGATGGGAACATCTCTCTGGTGGGTTCCCATGACTGGATCCATCTACATGATGATGGTGAGAAACGATGTGGCCTTCCTGTGTGGAATCCCGGGATGACAGAGGATGGGGACATCTCTCTGGTGGGTTCCCATTACTGGATCCATCTACTTGATGATGGAGAGGGATGGTGTGACCTCCCTGTGTGGCATCCCGGGACTACAGAGGATGGAGACATCTCTCTGGTGGGTTCCCATTACTGGATACATCTACCTGATGATGGTGTGATCTTCCTGTGTCGAATCCATGGAATACAGAGGATGGAGCCTCCGTACTGCTCTCTCCTTTCCAATAAAGTCTCCTCTTACCCGGTGATGTGAGGGGCGGCTGATTCTCAATCATGACGTCCTTGTAGAGGTCCTTGTGTCCTTCTAAATTGTGCGTGTCCTGCATCACATCATCCTCCTCATCTTCTTCTTTGATCTCTTCTTTAACAATAATCTTAAAAAAATCCAGGTATCCACTCTGAAGAGATCAGGAAAACAATGAGAGCGGTTACAATTTATATAATATACAAAATCGCAATGTAACCATTTCTTATGGTTAGGAAAGTTTCTACCTGATGATGGTGAGGGATGGTGTGACCTTCCTGTGTGGAATCCCGGGAATACAGAGGACGGGGACATCTCTCTGGTGGGTTCCCATGACTGGATCCATCTACCTGATGATGGTGAGGAATGGTGTAATCTTCCTTTTTTCCTTCTGAAAACTCCTCCATCCCTCCATACTCCTCATCCTCCTCTTTATACTTTTCTTTAGGAATAATAATATCATCCCCGAGGATTCCACTCTGAATATATCATAAAAAATGCATTGTAACAAACATGCTGTGTATAAATCAGAACCACCAATAATTGTCAATCATCTACCTGATGATGGTGAGGGATGGTGTGACCTTCCTGTGTGGAATCCCAGGAATACAGAGGACGGGGACATCTCTCTGGTGGGTTCCCATGACTGGATCCATCTGTAGGAAACACACACACTGACTGAATCCATTGTTTCTATGTGTTTATCAGATGATGGGGGATCTAGGTGGACCCTCCGTACTGCTCTCTCTCCTTTCCAATAAAGTCTCCTCTTACCTGGTGATGTGAGGGGCGGCTGATTGTCCATCATGACGTCCTTGTAGAGGTCCTTGTGTCCTTCTAAATACTCCCACTCCTCCATGGAGAAATAGACAGTGACACCCTGACACCTTATAGGAACCTGACACACACAATGATACAGTCACCATCCAGACACATCCCTTGTCTGTTACTGGAGAATGTCCCAGAATTCCCGGCACCGCTCACCTCTCCTGTCAGCAGCTCCATCATCTTCTTGGTGACTTCTAGAATCTTCTCCATGTTGTGTCTCTCAGGGTTTAGGGAGTCACATGGAGGCACTGTGATGGTCATATGATCACCTGACTTCAGAAGAGGAAACTTCTGTATTGGGGAACCAATAGGAACATGTTAGACTCTAAGAATCCTCCTCACCTCTCCGGTCAGGTCTGTGTGATGTCATGTGACCTCCCAGAATCCTCCTCACCTCTCCGGTCAGGTCTGTGTTTTATTAATAGAGATGAGAGTGATGTCACGTGACCTCCCAGAATCCTCCTCACCTCTCTGGTCAGGTCTGTGTTTTATTAATAGAGATGAGAGTGATGTCATGTGACCTCCCAGAATCCCCCTCACCTTTCCGGTCAGGTCCGTGTTTTATTAATAGAGATGAGAGTGATGTCATTTGACCTCCCAGAATCCTCCTCACCTCTCCGGTCAGGTCCGTGTTTTATTAATAGAGATGAGAGTGATGTCATTTGACCTCCCAGAATCCTCCTCACCTCTCTGGTCAGGTCTGTGTTTTATTAATAGAGATGAGAGTGATGTCATGTGACCTCCCAGAATCCTCCTCCTCACCTCTCCGGTCAGCAGGTAGAAGATCTCCAGGGTGAGGTTTAGTATCCTCTCGGTGATGCCACTCTCGACTTCCTCCATCTCAGTGATCTGATTAAGTGATCTAGAGAAGATGCTTCTCCCTGTAGACAGATAATACAATGACAATGATCGGATCAGGATGAATAGTATCTGTAGAAGGTTCTCGGCACATAGTGGACTTTTTGTGTTGATGTCAAGAGAGTGGACAGTATCAGGACCATGAATCGATTCTGCTGATTTGTAATTAGTAATGACCAAAACACATCTGGTTCAGTTGGAGAACGCTTTGCCAAATACAAACCCTACTGGAGTCAATGGGAGCTGATTGTAAAAATTAGTCCTGGAAATAAAAGACGTCACTGATGGGGGAGGAAGAGGACGGGCACGACGGTGGAGGAAGAGGACGGGCGCGACGGTGGAGGAAGAGGACGGGCGCGACGGTGGAGGAAGAGGACAGACGCGACGGTGGAGGAAGAGGCAGATAGGACGGTGGAGGAAGAGGGCAGATAGGACGGGAGGAGGAAGAGGACAGATAGGACGGAGGAGGAAGAGGACAGACATAACTGTGGAGGAAGAAGATGCACGTGGCGATAGAGGAAGAGGACGTGACTATGTAGGACGAGGACAGACATGAAGATGGAGGAAGAGGATGAACACGACGATCGAGGACAGACATGAGGATGAGGATGGACACGATGATATCCAGGACAGATGTGATGGTGGAGGAAGAGGACAGATGTGATGGAGGAGGATGGACACGACGATCAAGGACAGACGTGATGATGGAGGAAGAGGACGGACACAACGATCGAGGACAGATGTGATGATGGAAGAAGAGGACGGACATATTGATGGAGGAAGAGGACAGACATGACAATGGAGAAAGAGGACGGACATGACAGGGGGTTACTGGGTGTAAATATAAAATCAGATCCTATTACCTCCTCCGCTACCACTTCCAGCAATGTCTCCTCTCTACTTCCTCCAGACTCACCTCTCACTCAGACCTTTTTATTTATACCTGACATCACATCCTGTCTTTAGGTACCATAAAGACTTCCTGCTTTGTTCGACCTGATATGAGCAAGACTACCATCTTATGGAGCCCAGAGGAACTGCAGTCAGTTCAACAGTTATCTGAACCCCATCTTGCTTTGCGTCTCCCCATGATCTCAGCTTGGTAAGTATTCATCTTAGGCTTCAATAGTAAAATTACCCCCAAAAAAGTTTGAAAATAACTTAACGGTCAACAAAAAATCGACTGAACTGGACGAGACGTTTCAGAACTTTGTGGAAGTTCCATGACCCAAGCACTGTCTGTCTCACGTGGATGAGGAGCCCATATCCTGCTCATATCACCTTCTCTGTGTGGAGGAACTTCTCATCTGGTGACCAATCGTTTCTTCCAACTGGCTCGCCATTTCATCAGAGACCTCCTTACCCCAAGGTCCTCACCAGAGCCACCTTTACATCAGAGACCCCCCTTTTATTACAAATCTCCATCAAAGTTCCTCCTTACATAAGAGCGCCCATTGCATCAGAGTTCACCTTAAGAGATCCTTCTTACATCAGAGTCCCCATCAAAGTCCCTTTTTACATTAGGGTACCCATCAAAAAATCTATTACATTAGGGTTCTAATCAGAGTCCCCTACTTACATCAGGCACTTCATCAGAGCCCCCCTCTTACACCAAGATCCCCATCAGAGACCCCATCAAAGTCCCCCCTTATACCAGGTCCCCCATCAGCGGCCCCCTTACATCAGGGTTCCCATCAGATTCCCCCCCCTTACATCAGGGTCCCATTCAGAGTCTCCTTTTACATCAGGGTCCCCCTCTTACGCCACGGTCCCCAGCAGAGACCCCTTTAAAGTCCCCCCATCAGAGTCCCCCCTTACATCAGGGTTCCCATCAGAGCTACCTATTACATCAAGGTCCCCATCAAAGTTCGTCCTTACACGAGAGTCCCCATTGCATCAGAGTCAAGCTAAGAAGTCCCCACTTACATTGGGTCC